CCACATCCCTTCTCCACAGACTTACCTTCAGGGTGCTGCTCTCCACACTGCCCACCTGCATTCATGTAAATGAGTTATTGGATTGGTATCAGCCAGTATGCCTCATGAATGAATATTTGGCTATTGGTATCAGCCAAGAAAATCTTTATCAGTGGACCCCTAAATTGAGACATTAAACATATCAAAAGGAATTTCTTCTGTCTCCATATTTCAGATTTCTAAGATTTGAGGGTTGTTTCCTCATTTCTACAATCTGTTTCTGTATGTGGGGTTTATTTTCCTGGGATGTATTTACATTAGAAATTCAAGTATGGTAGGTCTCTTTCCAAAGAGACTCTATGCCCACTTAAAGGACCCATCATAATCCCATTCTTCTTTGCAGTAAATCACCTCTTAATATATATTTTAAAACAGAATACAAACCACTTCACCACAGTGTTTTGTAATACTAATTTAATTCAAACTCTATACAAACTTCTGAAAGAAAAATATATTTTTAAATATCAGTGCCCCCTTGCTGCTTTAGTTAAGGGATCATTAAACTCGTAAGTTTACGTGTGAGATATCTGCACCGTCAAACAAAACTGAGAAGTGCACAATTTGGTGGTGTTGATAACAGAAACGGAGATTTGTTGGTAGTGGTGAGTGGAATGACAAGCCTTTATTGTATACCAGGAAGAAGCAAAACGGCACGTTCCTATTTCAGAAGTAGTGATCCACAAAACAGAAGGGGATCTATGACAGGAAAGGTCATGTATCGGTATCAGTTACAACTTCAAACTTCCAACACCACCAGTTTTTTGCCGTACCATGGAGTGTTGCCCTGACCATTTGCAATGAGGTGATGATGTAGCTGACTTTCAGCCCCAAACACGTGCCGATAGTCATAATCAAGACAGAGAGCCTGTGGTGCCTGGGGAGCTCTACTGTAAGAAAGCTGTACTGATTCATTTCCAGGATTTGGTGCATGTGCAGTGTAACAAGTAGACAAGTCATGCTTCACAGCAGTGCTCTTGGCACAGCACAGCACAGCAGTGGTGCAGATAAGTCCCAGTTCTGTCATAAAATCACACAGGTGGATCTTTGTGTCTACGCAGAGTCCCTGCTGAGTACTCTCGATTTACAGCAGGGTTCCTCATGAATGCATCCTCTTGAAGGATCTTAGCCCTTTTCTAACCTTTCCAACAGCTCATCTCACTTTATAAAACTGTGTCCTAGTAGTGTTGACAACATGGACCAGTACTTCTGGACAGACAGCCTGATCCCTGATGTCACTTTTGACACATCAGTTGAATTTACCTTCCATTTCTGTGATACTATTGGAAAACGAGTCAGATAAAAATAAGCTCCAGTTTTTAAATCTTTCCTTGTTGGGCAGTCGTGACAGCAGCGTATCATGGGTTGATTTTAGATAAAGCATTGTCTTCCTGAGTATCTTAGTATAATAGATGGCTGTGTAACGTACAAACCAACCAATCCAGGTCTAAAATTAGATCTTTAGAATAGAATTATTATAAATATTGTATGCAGATTGTTCCTGTAGTGAAATGGCACAGACTGATTTCTAGCATTTTCCATTTATTTTATAAGCATATAGTAAGTCCAAAAGTGTTTTGCACTCTGCAAGGACATTTTTCAATGCCTCCAGAAAGTAGCCCCGTGTTCTTTGCAATCGATAAAGCAAGCAGGTAGGCAAAAGTAAGCAGCCTCACTTAAGGAAAAAGTTTCTGCATTTTAATACTTCTGAAAATGTTTGATTTGTACTTTTCCCTATTATGTAACTGAGGGGAGGGATGATGATAATAAGGATCTGAAATGTGATACAAAAATGAAAACGTTAGAAGTATCTGAGCACTGGGAAGAGAGTAACTGTGCAGCAAGGTTCTGCTTTTGTCAGTTGCCAGCATTTCTAGGGGATTTTTTTTTTCATTTCCTTCTGTATTCCGTTGCTTTTTTTTCATGTTTTTATTCAACAAAATGTGCCATATTCGTTGCTCTTTCCTGAACAGTAGTTACAGATTTTAGTCTCAAAGTAGAAGGTGAGGAGCCGTATACTTTTCCATGTCAAAGTTAAAATGATTCCCTTGAGGCACCATCTTATGCATGGTGTTTTAAGTCAAGATTGTTCAGCTGGCAGAGCTTGGGCTGCATGCAGCCCAGGAAGGGTTAGTTTGCAGCCACTGAACTTCCACCCTATCACCACTCCTGCCATCACTCCATCTGCAGCATCAGCATCAAAAGGCTTTGGGGTCTCCCTCCCTTTGGATTCTGATTCCTGCCCCACCCCAGGGCACAGGGCAGAACAGCCCACAATGCTGGAGAAACCCATGGCATGGGGCCCTGGCATGGTGTGGTGCAGCAGAGCAGTCCACAACCAGGGAGCTGAAATTGTGCTTGGGGCACCTGTGCCCGCACATGGTACAGCAGTTGGGCGGGAAGAGCCCATGTGTTTGGCTCGGGGGGAAGTTCCCAGGTGGCCTGTGGCCTGCAGCACACAGCCTCTAGCTGCTAAGAAGTTGGAGAGCTTTGTTTCAGGTCATTATCTGAGTTCATTATCCGTTAAAATGGTTAGTACCTAACTGAGGCACGTTGTAAGTATATTAGTTAATGTTTTGCAAATATGGAGAACTAGTAAGTGTTAAGTACTCCTGAAATGTGACAAAGCAGAATATACTGTAGTCATTAGTAAGGAATATAGCATGTCATACCAGGTCATAGTAAGAAATAATTGCATCTTATTTTGAAAGGATATTCTATTGAGAACTATCAGACAGTGATTTCTTCTGGTCTTGATAAACTAGCAAAAAAGCAATGACTTCATAATAGTATTAGGTACTGGTGTTATGTGCAGGAAAATTGACTGTGCAATTTCATTATCAGTTAGTTATTTATAGAAAGCAGTGGGTTTCTGCCGAAACACTTGCAGGTTCTGTGGAAAGTCATGTATGCAATATTGAACTGACAAATTTGAGTATCACGCTTCCTTTTGTTTTATAAATAGAGAAAATCTATAAATTGTAACTTCAAAAAATATTAATGGAAGTCAGGAAAGGTCTGTTAGGTGGTCCAGGCCATCCTCTTTCCAGTGAAGGATTGTTCTGTGCAGCATGTGTCTCGGTGTGTTGTCAAGCCTGCGTGGGTGGGTCTTAAGCAGTATGCGCACGGTCGACACAGTTTTCCTTTAAGAACGTGCTACTAGGTTCAAAACTACACTGCATACCCAGTAAAAATCCCCCACTCCCTTCCAAACATAAATTTGGCTTGTTCAGCAGAAGCCTGAAGCCCTGCATTGTTTGCTGTCAGAAGTATGAGCTAAGGGGACAGACATTCCCTCTGCTCAGCCGGAGCACTAAGCTGCGTTCTGCCCTTGTTGCATTATTAATGGGACAATGTTTTTATGTTGCAGATGGCTAAAAGCTAGCAAGGCACATTCGGGACCATGATGGCTCAGTTTAACACAGCCATGAATGGTAAGCAGCCTGAGCAGGGTGCATGTATGTGGGGTTGGGGAGCCTCTGTTGTCTTTCTATTTAATATTATGAGTAAGTAACTGGTTGTAATGTATGTATCAATGTCTTAGTCAACTTACCGTAGAACATCTACTGTTTGCTGTCTGTCTTCTCACTTCCAGTTTGTGTTCTACGTAAATTGGAGAATTTCAGCACAAGCGTTGCTGCAGTATAATCTAGAGTGCAGCTATGCCTGGAGCATCTAGTGAGCTGAGATTTAAAGTATTGTTGCATACACACTAAAGAATGTGTGACTGTATTTTGAATACTGAATGACTTCTAGTGAGGAATAGGCTAGGTAATAATCAGTTAAATTCATGTACCCATTCTGTTACGTAATCTGACCTAAGGTTTTGATATCTTAATTTAGATATAACCAACATTTCTGTCTCCTGTATTTCAGCATATTGATTATTCATAATCAGTGCAGCTTATGCTTAAAAATCATGCAGATCACCTTGTATATTTTTCCCCTCCTGATTTCATATTCTGTTGAAATGTGAAATGCAGAAGCTACTTTTCTCCCTATTTCTTTTCAAAGACATGCTCCAGATAACTTTTTAGAAGGTTAATATGTTAAGAGCCAGTTAGGTAATGGTCATTTGAATCCCTTTATTTCTAAAGATAATAGTTTATCTTAAAGAAATAGGTTACTGTGTTTGCTGAGAAATTGGATATTTTAATGTGTTACTGGATGACTTCACAGTTGTATACAAAGGTACCCAAAAAGGGAAAGGGGTGGAGCAAGATGCATGCACTTTGAATTGGCGGAAAGGGGGAAATCTGGTATTGTGGGTAAAAACATGCAACATGTCTGGTTTGTTATTAGAAGAAGCAAATTCAAGGCTGAGTTTTCATTAACTAATTCAGAAGCTGATTACTGTTACGATACATTAGGATAAGGTGTTTTTATGCTAAAGAAAAATAACTTGTCTTTGTAAGATAAAAATGTAGTTGATGAACTGGGTTGATGGATCTGTAAAACAAAATGTTGCTTGAAAAAAAACATTATGGTGATGTTCACCAGCACATTTTTATGCAGTGTCAACTGTAGCTGCATCCAGTAATAGCGTTTGTTTACTTCACAGACTTACTAATAATTGATATGCTAGAATAAATGGGATGTGTGTGTTGTATTTGTCAGTTGTCAGGCAAAAGAAGGTGAGCATCAGATTGTCCCTTTCACCTTCTTTGACAGAAGACAAAAACGATAACAGAGCCCTGCGGTACTCTTGTATTTTTCCTTTTTGCTTTTGTCTTTTATTTGTTTACTTTTCATTTCCTCCCCCTTTCCTTATCCTTTGTATGTCATTTTTTCCTGTCTGTTTAGTACCTCTGCTTTCTGCAAGTGCATTCATAGCATGTGAAGAGGTAGGCTTTCACCTATGAAAAGCTTTTGCCTTTCTAAATGAGTTAGGGCAGGGTGGCACCTCTGAGACCTGTCTTCTGACTGACTTCAGACCAATATGACCAAATTCCTTTCTTTGCTTGCTTTGGTAGTGCTGTCTAACCTGCATGCCACAGAAACTGTTTTGGGTGCTCCAGAACTCATGATCAGGCAGGGCTTACTTATCTCCATCATTTTCCCTTTATTCTTCCCTCCCAAATTTTTGTTATTTTAATGCTTTTTCATCATATGTCATCCATACCCTCTTCTCTTTCTCCAGCTGAGCACTGGGAGAGGGTGCAGACAAGCAACATGTGAGGCAGAGGGCCAGGAGATCTCATAGGTTTGCTGGCTCAGGGAACTCTGCTCTGTCTGTACAGAAGCACACCTTGTTCCTCTGTACCGCCATCAAAGGAAAAATGCCAAGGAAATGTAAGGGGATTCCCCTTACAGAGTTGGCTACCTACTGTTTGGAAAACACGCACACAACAGAAAAAAATATGGCTTTAATTTAAAATATTTCCTCTCAGAACACACTGAATGAATGCATGTAGCTTTTCATTCACGTTTAATCAGAATTAATTACAGTTGAAGGAAGTCAGCTGGGAAGAAGATAAAGACTTCATGAGATTTCATGATAATAAGCATTGAGTAACCTTATAAGGAGAAGAGTTTCTACAGAAAGCCTGTGTTCTTTTTCATTGTGTTTTATTGCTAATGCTGTTTCCATTCAAATAGATCATTTGCTTTTACCATTTATTAAACACTTGAGGTCCTCCTTCA